CTGTTTGCAGATGACATGATCCTCTACATAGAAAACCCTAAAGACTCTACCAGAAAATTACTAGAGCTAATCAATGAATACAGTAAAGTTGCAGGATATAAAATTAACACACAGAAATCTCTTGCATTCCTATACACTAACAATGAGGAAACAGAAAGAGAAATTAAGGAAACATTACCATTCACCATTGCACAATTTCATAAATTTTTCATTTTTCTGTTACTGATTTCTAAAGTCACTGTGAAGTGATTAGAGAAGATACTTGGTGTGATACCTATCTTTTAAAATCTATTGAGTCTCAATTTATGGCCTAACATGTGGTCTTTTCTGGAAAATGTCCCATGTGCTTGCACTCAAGAAAAATGTGTATTCTGCTGTTGTTGAGTAGAGTATATGTTGAGTTCTGTATATGTCTGTTAGATCTAGTTGGTTTATTATGTTAAGTCTACTGATATCTTCAACTGTTAACTGTAGGACTGTCTATTTCTCCATTTCTTAGTTTTTGTTCCAGATATCTTCACGACTTGTCATAATATGTGTTTATAGTTGTTACATCTTCTTGCTGTATTGAACCTTTTATTAATCAAAATCAAATATAATTTCCTTTTTTGTTTCTTGTAACATTTTTGATTCAGTCTTATTTTTGTCTACTACTGGTGTAGCCATTTTTGCTGTCTTTTGGTTACTATTTGAATGAAATCTGTTTTCAGTCTTTTCCATTTCAACTGCTTTGTGCCTTTGGATTGCAAACAAGGCTTGTGTAGACAGCATATAATTGGATCATGTGTTTTTTTTTATTTTGCCAAAATTGGAGCATTTAATCCATTGACATTTGGTGTTACAAGCCAAAATTACAGTAATGGTAGCTTTTTATATTAATAACTTGTTAAAAGTTCATCTCTCAGATACAAAAAGTACAGTTACAAACTGCTGTTACAGTAATACTAACTTTCATCATTATCCATGTGTATCTTTCATATTCATGTGGCTTTGAGTTACTGTCTAGTATTCCTTCATTTCTTTCATTTGTAGGACCTCCTTGAATTGCAGGCCAGGTCTAGTGATCTTGAACTCCATCAGCTTTTGCTTATCTGGAAATATCTTAACTTCTCTCTCACTTTTGAAGGACAGTTTTGCTAAATATAGATTCTTGGTTGACAGATTTTGTCTTTTAGTACTTTGAACATATCTGCCCATTTATCTTTTGGCCTCCAAAGTTTCTGATGTGAAATCCACCAGTAAACTTACTGAGGATCACTTGTATGTGATGATTCACTTCTCTTGTTTTCAAAATTCTTCTTTATCTTTTTGGAAGTTTGACAATAATATGTCTCTGAGTTCATCTTTTTTGGAGCTCGTTAGATGTGTATGTCTCTCATAACATTTGGGAAGTTTTCAGCCATTATTTCTGTGCCCTTTTCTTTGTTTCTTACTCATCCAGGACTCCCATGATATGAATGTTGGTCTGTTTGATGTCCCACAGGTCCCTTAAGTGCTGTTTATGTTTCTTCAATCTTTCTGTTCTTCAGGCCTAATAATTTTCTTTGTTTTAATTTCAAGTTTGCTGAATCTTTTTTCTACCTATCCAGGTCTGCCTTCAAATCTCTCTAATGAATTCTCAGTTTCAGTTATACTTTTCAGTTCCAGAATTTCTTTATGATTGCTTCTTAGGTTTTCTGTTGCTCTACAGTTCCATTTTGTTAACATGAATGACTGTACACATCTTCCTTTAGTTCTTTGAGTATCTTTAAGACAGTTGTTTTAAAATCTTTGAAAGAGAGCTAATGGAATTTTTTCCAGACAGAGACAGTTTGTGATGATTTATTTTTTCCCTTGAATAGGCCATACTTCCCTATTTCTTTGTATGCCTTATGATTTTTTTGGTTATTGAATCTAACAATGTGATAACCCTAGAAACCAGATCTTCCCTATTCCTTAAGATTTGTTGTTTTTTGTTATTGTTTGGCCTTTTGTCATTGTTGTAGGCTGCCTCTACACTGAAGATCACCCTGAGGTATAAACATAAAGTCTTCTCAGGTTATTTTCTGAGCATTTTCCTGGGTGTGCATGGTCACTTTATAATTTTCTATGCATATGCAGTTGTTTTTTAGTGCCTTAGTCTTTAGTATTTTGCTTGTAAAGGGGAGAAAAGCAGAAAATGAAGGGGTGAAGGGCACCAGCCTTTAAAATCTCCTGGAATTCACTTCAGATGAGAGGGAGGGACTTGAAACAATGGGAGAAGGTGGAATAGCAATGGTGGCCTACCCTTTGTCTGCACCTCTGTGATCAGAAATAGCTGGCAACAATCAGAGGAGAGATCCCTCATTTCGGAGGACAGAGTCCTTTTTGCCTGCTGTGGCTTCTGCAAACTCTGCAAGCTGCTCAGGGACAGCTGCTTACCACTTGGCTGAGGGTGGGCAGCTGCTACTGTACAGAGAGCTGAAATTGACCAAAGTTAATTGTAACTTACTTCGTCCTCTCTGGAAGTTGTAAGCCTTCAGCAGACTTCAGAGCTCCACAGTAGTTACATCAGGCGGATTCTGCTGGTGCAGTAGTTGTCTATGTGGGAGACAGATTGCTTGTGCTTCTGCTCTACCATCGTCCCATAATTTTCCAATTAGATTTTAAAAGAGTCCCTTCACTGATACAAAATAATTAGCTGAGGTGGTTAACATAACATTTAGTGTAAAAATATAAAGTCACTTGCTCTTTTTTCAGCAGTGATTTATATGGTCATATTACATATTATATTGTAAACTATAATTTTTAGTGATCATTTTGAGGGGTTGTTTTTTATGTGTGTTCTGTTATTTCTTTAAATCTCAGCAAACTGGACATTTGAGTAGGTTTTGAGAAATGTCTGCAGTTTAGTGGACTGCATCTACCTTCTGCCTTCTCCCCATCCTTACAAAAGTAAATGGGATGTTTCAGAAGAGAGCTGTATTAAAAGAAGTGTGTTGCAAATGGCTTCAGAAGCTGTGAATGCAAAACAGGCTAGGAATCGCTTCACAAAGGGGAAAAGACAACAGCAAATAAAGAACAGATCTTCACTTGGTGATGGCGATGCAGAAGACTCCTTTCTCTTTGAAGCAAATGAAGCTTGGAAAGATTTTCATGGTTCTCTTCTTCAGTTTTATGAAAATGGAGAACTCTGTGATGTCACACTGAAGGTCAGACTGCCTTTTTTTCTTTCTTTTTTCAACCTCTTCAGCGTATTGTGTAAAATCATGGTTTCTATAACCACACAAGGCAAATTTTGGGTGCTATATTTAAAATCAGAATNTCTGCTGATGGGCATCTAGGTTGCTTCCATGTCCTGGCAATTATAAACAGTGCTGCGATGAACATTGGGGTGCACGTGTCTCTTTCAGATCTGGTTTCCTTGGTAACTTAAAAATTTTGATGTATTCACTTACTCTTGATGTTGTTTAGAAGTGAGAATTTTTTATTGTATATGTAGCTGCACTAGTGTTTTACTATATATTCCTATTCTGGTGCAAGCATACCTCTGTTTTTTTGCATTTGGCTTTATTGCATTTTACAGATAATGCATTTTTGCTTGGATTTTTGTTTTGTTTTTTACAGATTGAAGATTTGTGGCAGCCCTGAGTTGTCAGATGATAGTTAGCATTTTCGAGTCTTTTAAACATAACTTCTATATGCAGTGGCAAACAAAATCATTTGATGTGGTTTATTTTGGTGGTCTGGAACTGAACCTGCAATATCCCAAGATATGCCTATAATTTAATCTTTTTCAATATTATCATTTTTAAGTGAGATTGTTTATTTATACCTGATAGTGAACTAGACTTGGATGAAAAAGTCTTTAGTAAACTGTGTCAAAGGTTATGTTGCTCTGCTACCAAAAACAGTTTTAATAAAATTGGAAAATTGGTAAAGCAGTATGAAAGAGCCTGTATTCCGATTGTTTCTCATTGCTCATTTAAAGTACTTTCTTACTATTATTCTTATTTCTTACTGTGATATTAAGCTTTTTTGAGGATTTGTGTGCATCCATGCAGAATTTTTTAACATGAGATTTGCCACTTTGTGATCTCTTAGATTCTGCTTTCTGTTCCTGATCAGTCAGGTCTTAGAGCTCAGAGTTGTGGGGATTGAGGACATCTTTGGAGAATCAGATCAGGGTACACGCAGCAAAAGTCTGTAAACTGAATGCATAAATTCTGAGTTTCAGGCTCAGAATGTCCAGGAGTATAGAGTTTTACTGTAAATAAATGACCTATATTCTCTTTAATTCTAAACTTTTGGTGTCTTTACATATTTCTAGGTCCTAAGATATTGAGAAGAAGACCATTAAATAATTTTACTGACTTTATATGAAATTTAGCCTTGTATACGTTCTAATGAAGGAACACCTAAACTCTTTGATGTGTACAGTATATTATGTTCAGTCTAATTACTGTTGTTCTAATTTTCAACCATGCTGTGAAATTAGTGACCCACACTAGCTTTGGCAAAAATAAAAATGTAAAATAGATTATTTGAATTTAATAAATTATCAGTTCAGTGTATCAGTGTAAGCTGGAAAACAAATATTATTGACTGTATCAGTATATAATTTTTAATAACTACTGCATATAAACTTTGTTAAGTGAGAAGTATGGATACAGCCGTTTTAGGGCAAGTGATAACTTAATCTCATAACTTTTCTTTGTTTTATTGAGTGACTTCAGCAATAGGTTGAAATGAAAACTTGAGAAGAATCTATAGGGGAGGCCCCAAAATGCTACATTTGAAGCAGTTACAGAGGTCATTTAGGAATGAGAAGCTTCATAATTTTATGATTTTAATTTTTCAACTATAATATTATGATTCAATTTTTGTGAGGAATAAGTGAGTTAACATGTAAAGCCCTTAGAACAGTGCTTAATACATTAAATAATAAGTAATCAATTCTTAGGATCATTATGTATACTACTGTTATTGTTCCAAAGAGGTCAGATAATGCTGCTATGGTATATTCTGTTGCTGTCATTAGGAGGAATTACAGTCTTTTAGCAGGTCTGTTATTGGATTTATTTCTTAATTCTAATTCAATATTTTTTAAACTTTCAGAATTTAACTATCATATAATAAAAAAAACTAAACCCAGTAGGATTATGGGTAGTTTATAATGCTTTGCTCAATATAAACTTCACTTTTTGCATTCATATAACCTTGAGGATTATACTTTGAAGTGTTCATCTCCTTTTTTCTATTAGCATGCTTCCTTTGATCATTATTGCTTTTAGGACAAACATTTCAGAAAGGCAGTTATCAAAATTTGTTTTATTATTCATATGTAAGGCCATTAGTGTATTTTTAAATTCCAAAGTGAGCACCTAAATTGGAAACAACAAGTAAGTTCATTTAACATTATTTACGAAGGTCTTACCACAGTACACAGAGAGTATAAATAAATCTGAATAATATGCTATACTTGCATTGAGGGAGTTTAAGCTTTAGCTGGAGATAGATACATATACATCTAACTAAAATACAATTTAGTAACTGTCATTTTATGACGTTTTTATGGAAGCAAAGGACAGGATCTATTAATTATGTCTGAGAGGTGATTGGAAAGGCTTCACATAGGAGATTATATATTATCTTAAGGTCATGCCAGCTTTACCAGAAAGGTAAAACTTATTTATATATTATGTTTATTAGTGAAAATATTTTTAAACAACAAATCTCTTGGTAACACTAACATTATAAATGAGGGAAGATTCTTAAGGGCAACAGTTTGGTTGGGGAACAGACAGGGAAATTGTCTCAAAAGGGGTATTGCATAGCACTCATAATACTTAAGATTATATGTCACAGATCAACAAGAATAGCATCTGTAAAGATGCTTTTATTTATGCTTTATTTAGTCTGAGGCAATGTCATTGTCTTTTTAATTTTTTTCATTGTCCTTTTTAAAGATCATAGTTAATTTACCTGAAGAGGTTGATAGAGATTATTAAAGGAGGACAACCCCTTCCATCATCTCTTGATGCCACCACTGAGATATGTTTCATTCATATTATTTAGCTGCTTATTTTGAAACTGCATGTTTCTGTGATGTTTAAAATTTTCTTTTAAATATTTATTTATTTGGCTTCACCGGGTCCTAGTTGTGGCATGGGGGATCCAGTTCCCCAACCAGGGACTGAACCCAGATCCTTGCATTGGGAGTACCAAGTCTTAGCCACTGGACCACCAGGGAAGTTCCTGTGATTTTTTTTTTTTTAAATAAGTATTTATAAGATTCTAATGAACATGTTCAAGACTCTAAGTGTTATAATTATTTGCCATCAAAATTTTCAGCTGATCAGGTAAGAATAGTGCTCTGAAAGATTGCAGAGAAACAAAATATTCGAGTTCCACTAGAGTAGTGTACTTCCAAGAGGTAAAAATGATTAAAGTTATTATCCTTATAAATGTAACCGTTCCTGACTGGAAAGCAGACATAACCTAATAGAAGAAATGATAAAGGAGAAAGTGATTTTACACTTAAGTATTCTGTTAACTCTAATAAAATGATGATCACTTCTACTTTTGTCCATTCAACTAGTAAGTCAATATTTTGATTTTTTTCCATATTGGTCAGAAGAAGGGATATTTGAGTATTTATATCCATAGATCCTTATTTATTTGACCACCAAAATGCTACTTAAAATTTATCATTTTCATTGTGCAAGTTTTTAAAGTAAATGTGAGATAACATTGTAGAACAGTGAATGTGGCTAGACATTGTGATACGGTAATTCACTGCAAGTCAAGACATTTTCTTGAGTCTTAAACATTTAACCCCTTCTTGACTTTGACAGTTAAACATGTTTTTGGCTACTCAGACTGATTAAAATTGGTGGATTATTGAAAAAACTAGGTAATTGAGCTAAAAAAAGGCAAAATTACTACATGGGATTAAACTGAAAAATTAAAATACAGCTTATAAATGGATGTGAAAGGAGACTTGGGTATATAGGCTTTTTCTCTTCTGCTTTGTGTCTTATGGACTTTTATTTCAATGTAGTCCTCAGACATTTATTTTGAGTTACTGTTAAGTGGCATAACTGTAAACACTTCAACTTAATGTATACTTTAGTTTTTGTTTTAATGGTTTTTTTTTTTTCTCTTCTGCTTTGTATCTTATGGACTTTTATTTCAATGTAGTCCTCAGACATTTATTTTGAGTTACTGTTAAGTGGCATAACTGTAAACACTTCAACTTAATGTATACTTTAGTTTTTGTTTTAATGGTTTTTTTTAAATTTAGTATGTTTTCAACAATTCATGTTAATGGGGTTATACAATTAATACTTAGAAATGAAGTAAATCTACGTAAGAACAATAGTTTGTAAAAGAATAGTTCACAGGATAGCCAAGTTTTTAAAAAGTAGTAAAAATGTAAAGATTAAATCAGTTGAAAATTTGTTCAGTTATTGGTGCTTCCTACATGGCTCGGTGGTAAAGAGCATGCCTGCCACCACAAGAGACACAGATTAGGTCCTGGTCGGGAAGATCCCCTGGAGGAGGAAATGGCAACCCACTCCAGTACTCTTGCCTGGAGAATCTCATGGACACAGGAGCCTGGAGGGCTACAGTCCATGGGGTCACAAAGAGTCGGGACGTGACTGAGCAACTCAAAGGGCATTTATAAGCAAAACCATTTTGTACCTTGTAACATTCCTTAGGCCTTTTCTTTCGAAGTTCTTACTTTAAAATTAGTTCCCAGATAGTAAAACACAACTACATTACATAATCTAAATGTTACATGGAAACAGGATAATTGCTAAAACACCACTATCTTATTACTTATTGATTAATATACAGTGCTGGGAAAACTGGGAACCTACTATGTTAAAAAGAAGATAAAAGTAAGAGGCACAAACTTATGTATGGAATAAGTACAAGGAAATGTTGTACAACATGGGGAATATAGCCAATATTTTATAATAACTGTAAGTAGAATATTACAGAGGAGGAGATGGATGGTATCACCGACTCGGTGGACATAAGTTTGCGCAAGCTTCAAGAGTTGATGATGGACAGGGAAGCCTGGCATGCTGCAGTCCATGGGGTCACAAAGAATCGGACACAACTGAGTGACTTAACTGAACTGTAGTAGAATATAACCTTTAAAAATTGTGAATCATAATATTGCACACCTGTAACGTACAGCAACTATACTTCAATAAAAAAAGATGTCTTCTCAGTATCAAAAACTTCCAGATGGAAATAGATTTGTGAAAACATAAAGCCATGAATACTAAAAAGAATACCTGGAGTAAATATGGATGGAATATTAGAATGATTCCCACTTAAGCATAGCACCTCATGCAGAAGTCATAAAGAGAAATGTTGGTTGATTATAAAAATCCATGGGGGATGAATTTAAAGCACACTTAGAAAAGAAGTTTCAAAATATATGTATGACAAATAATATTCCAAAAGTCTGAGGCATTCTTACAGATAAAAAAGTTCATAGAAAAGAGTTCATAGAAGACATAAAAGTAGTCCAAAATTTATGAATAATTCAATCATATTAGTAAAAGATAAAACTAAAACAGTGAGAGACTTCATTTGTTGAATTGGCAAATATTTAACAAGTTAATACTCAGAATATGGTACAAGTATTGTAAGCAGATCAGAAATGGACAATTTAGCAATATGTATCCAAACTGTACTTTGAAGCTGCATTACCATTTTATGTAGGAAATTATTAATAGAAAGTGGATACAAAGATTCTCTTACAACAAAGTTCACTACTGTGTTTATAATGGCAATTATGGAAAGCGTTCTAATTTTTCAGCAGTTAAAGTGGTGATGTTTCGGTGTTCTTTATTACATTTCTGTAAAATATCATTTCAAAATGATTTAAATAAGAATGAAAAAACTTCAGTTAAGCTTATAATAAATACTACTAAATATTGATTTGCTTACTCTGCTTCAGTTTTCTCAGTGATAAATTGTGGATAATGATAGTATCTACTCATAGGACCATTGGGACAATGAAGTCAGTTAATATATGAAAAACAGAATGAATAGTGCCTGACAGTAACGATAGTTAGCAATACTGTGTCGTATATTTGAAAATAGCTAAGAGAGTAGATTTTTAAAGTTCTCATAAGAAAGAAAAAAAAATGTATAATTATATTAGGTGGTAGTTACTAAAACTGGTAATCGTTTCACCATATATATATATATAAATATAATATCAAATCATAATGTTGGGTACCTCAAACTTAAACCATGTTAGATGTCAGTAAAAGTGGAAAAAAAGTTTTAAAGTAAAAAGAGACTCAGACCCTAAAGAAAACATAGTGCTTTATACATAGTAAGTGCTAGGTGATGTTTGCTGTTATTCATTAATTCACAAAATACTTCTGAAATGTGAGATAATACAGAAAAATCTAGTTTTATGATATGCACATTATAGATACATGTATAAAAGATTTGATTCTTCTAATGAGATGGATGAAACTGGAGCCCATTATACAGAGTGAAGTAAGCCAGAAAGATAAAGACCATTACAGTATACTAACACATATATATGGAATTTAGAAAGATGGTAATGATAACCCTATATGCAAAACAGAAAAAGNCTCCAGTTTCATCCATCTCATTAGAACTGATTCAAATGAATTCTTTTTAATGGCTGAGTAATATTCCATGGTGTATATGTACCACAGCTTCCTTATCCATTCGTCTGCTGATGGGCATCTAGGTTGCTTCCATGTCCTAGCTAACAGTGGGTGGAGAGGGAGGTGGGAGGGGGGATCGGCATGGGGAATACATGTATATCCATGGCTGATTCATGTCAATGTATGACAAAAACCACTACAATATTGTAAAGTAATTAGCCTCCAACTAATTAAAAAAAAGATTTGACTCTAATTTGGAAGAAGAAAATTGACTGACTTTAAAAAATTAGCCTAGGTTGACAGTAAGTGACCAAAGGATTACACTGTTAAATGCACTAAAATTGTTTGGAGGTTTTGTCCCTGCTACAGCATATCCTCTATGCCGATCTCAGGTTTATTTTGATATTAAACTATATCTGCTCTTTTCTTTTGAACAGGTTGGCTCAAAGCTAATTTCCTGTCACAAACTGGCATTGGCTTGTGTTATTCCCTACTTCAAAGCCATGTTTCTCTCTGAAATGGCTGAAGCCAAGCAAACACTGATTGAAATAAGAGATTTTGATGGTGATGCAATAGAAGACTTGGTAAAGTTTGTCTATTCTTCACGGCTCACTTTGACAGTTGACAATGTCCAGCCTCTCTTATATGCAGCCTGTATTCTACAGGTTGAACTGGTGGCTAGAGCTTGTTGTGAATACATGAAGTTACATTTTCATCCCTCCAACTGTCTGGCGGTAAGAGCCTTTGCAGAAAGTCACAATCGAATAGACTTAATGGACATGGCGGATCAGTATGCCTGTGAGCATTTTACTGAAGTGGTGGAGTGTGAAGACTTCGTGAGTGTGTCGCCTCAGCATCTCCATAAGCTTTTGTCCTCCAGTGACCTAAACATTGAGAATGAAAAGCAGGTCTATAGTGCTGCTATCAAGTGGCTTCTTGCCAATCCTCAGCATCATCCCAAGTGGTTGGATGAAACACTTGCACAGGTGGGGACAAATAAGATTGTATATAGAAAGGAAATGATAGGGAAACAAATCAGCATGTTCCATTTACCATAAAAGGTGGGGATTATCGATTGCTGTAATATAATGTGAAAATAGCTTTGACTCTCACTTTCCTATACCATTTAAGGATAAGTCTGAACATGCTATATTTGAATTAGAAATGTCACTACCTTCTTTTTAACTTGAATATTTACAAAGCCCCTTTGAGATAGTAGTAATGAATATTTTATTTATGCTGAAATGTTCTGAGGAAACAGCTCTAAATTAATTTATAACTATTGTTTTATAATATAAAGTTTCTAAACTTACTGAACTGCTTTGCTAATGAAAGTTTATCTGTTCCTAGTGCATATAGATTTGTTCTCGAAAGAATTAATAAGACATCACTTTGTTTTCTTCCCTCACCATTTGTAGCTTCAGAAATGTCTCTTTTTGTTTACTTTTCCTATCAATAGGAGTTTTCTTAGATAGGGAGATGACAAATAGGCCTTAGAATTACCTTAACAGTAAGTTGGTCTACAAAACCAAAAAATTTTATTATCTTGCACCTGTATCATATATTTGTGTATGTGTGTGTGCCTTTAACTCAGAATCACATTATGGGGTTTAATCATCCCTTTAATATACTAGACAGTCAATGCATCTTTAAGAGAAGAATGGTGAGTGCCTCTACTGAAAGAAGGGGATTATTCCTGAGTATAACCTTCCAAGTTGAAGATAACAACACCTCTTTGCTTCAGATATGAGCATGTGTGTGTGTGTAAGAAATCACATTTGCATATGTTTGGTCTTAGCATTAAAAGGCAAACAAACATAGCAGCATAATTGTGTTTTGATTGTACGTTTTCTTTAACAGCAAGGGGCCTTACGATTATGACAGTACCATTTTTGGAAGTGAATAAGTAGCTTGAATTAAGACAATTGAATTATTTTATCCAATCTACTTAAATCTGTTTAAAGGGGAGGATATAGTTAACATATAATCTGATTTCATTAGTACCGACCAGTACTGGGAGTTGCTTTAGAACTTGGCACAGTGAACTTCATGCACATGTTAGAAAGTAAATGAGATTTGAGGAGAACATTGCTGCAGTGAAAGTAGAGAATGAGCTATCCCAATTGCAACTTATATTTATATCTGCAACTATTCATGATCTTAGGTTCGTTTGCCGCTGTTGCCAGTTGACTTTCTCATGGGTGTTGTGGCAAAAGAACAGATTGTCAAACAAAATCTAAAATGTAGAGATTTATTAGATGAAGCAAGAAATTACCACCTTCACTTGAGTAGCAGAGCAGTACCTGACTTCGAATACTCTATTCGGACTACCCCAAGGAAACATACTGCTGGTAATTAAATTACTCATTTTATCAACTCTGCTGGAAGGAGTTTTGTTCTTTTTGAGGGTTGTTCTGTGAATGTCTAAACCTGATTGTAAGATGATTTAGTATCGATTGTCTTAAAATAGTAATTGGCAAATAAGGTTATGTATGAATTTTTATCGTACATGACTTCAGATAGTTTTATTAATAAGCCAATTTTTTAAAAAGCCATAACAAGACATATACACTCTGAGGAGTCTGCTGAACTATCTCTTTCTTGAGAGTCTTTTTGATTTCTTCTAAGCAGAGTTAGTTCCTCTGTCATTTTTGCTTAAATGACACTTGCATTGCGCTTTTTTCACTGTGTTGCACTGAAATTTGACATGTTTTGAGCCCTTCAAAGACAGGTAAGTATCTTAATAGGTTTGTATCACAGGTACCAGGCATGGAGCTTGATACATGTTATATTTTTAAATATTTGTTTTTTCATTTCACCACAGCAAAACAAGGTACTAAATACATCTAATGTTAGTATAATAGACTATATTAGACTCTTAGAATATAAAGCTCTTATACTTGAGAGGCAAGTAGTTTTGCCTTTATTTGTCATAGTTTTTATGAGAAAATAAGTATGTTCACTTACGTTACTCTTCATAAAGAATATGGGACAAGGGGAAGTAAGTGTGGCCTATGAATTTAGGAGTCAGTAGTCTGAACAGAGACTTCCTGTACATCTCCTGTGGCCTAATGGGGTTATTAAATAAAGAGATTCGTGAAATAACCTAAAAAAAAAAGGCAATGCATGATCATGAATAGTGGGATTTTATCTAAATAGTATGAAGAAAGTTTGAACGTGGTAGATCTGCCTATGAGGAAGTTGTTGTTCGGTCACTCAGTCGTGTCCAACTCTGCGACCCCATGGACTGCAGCACACCAGGCTTCCCTGTCCTTCACCATCTCCTGGAGCTTGCTCAAACGCATGTCCTTTGAGTCGGTGATGACATGCAACCATCTGATTCCAGCTTGTGCTTCATCCAGCCTGGTATTTCACATGATGTACTCTGCATATAAGTTAAATAAGCAGGGTGACAATATGCAACCTTGATGTACTCCTTTCCCAATTTGGAACCAGTCTATAGTTCTTCTAAATAATTAGTGTAACATGAAAAGGATGGCTTATTTATTTTCCCTCTTTATAGGTTGATATCAAGTATTAAATTTTTGAAGTGTAATTTTTTTTAGCTGTGAATCCTGTTTCAAGGGTTAAGGTGTTTAATTCTTCAGATTCAGATGTAAATTCAAAGATCTTGGCAGTCTATATTATATGCCAAATGTATATTAGACCCTCGTATCCATGATCTCTTACATGATTGCAAGAACTTAGTGAAGGATTTGATCCTTATTAGAAAGATGGTGTTACTCTGTCTTATGGATAAGGAAAAAAAAAAATCAGAGAGGGTCAAAAAATGCACAGGGTCACATGGAACAATGGAGAAAGGATTTGTGTCCTGATCTTCATTTTAATTTTTTCCATTCCATGTCATATTCCTGGATGATCTATATAGCTGAAATATTAGGGTCCACTTAACTAAAATCTAATTGGTAGTTGAGATTATAGTCTTGGATTGTAATTCCAGCTGTGCCATTAAGCATCTGTAATTTGGGGCAGATTTTGTAATCTCTGAAGGCTTCAGTTTATTTATAAATAATTTTGGTTACGTGATCTTTAAAGTCTCTTTCAACTTTACATTTCTCCAACTTTTAAAATATTGAATTAGTTGAAAAAGATGGCACAAGCAGTTCTGGTCACTCATTTTATGCAGTCATTTCAGCAAACATTTATTCAGTGTCTGTGTGTGCCAAGTTCTCACTTAGGCATTAGAAATGCAAACATAGGACTTCCCTGGTACTGTCCAGTGGTTGAGAGTCTGCCAGCCAATGCAAAGGACACTGACTCCATCCTCGGCCTGGGAAGATCCCACACGCTGCAGGGCAACTATGCCCAAGCACCACGACTTCTGAGGCCAAGCTCTAGAGCCCTTGGGCCACAACTTCTGAAGCCTACATGCCCTAGAGCCCTATACACACGCCCTGAGCTCCAGGACAAGACTAGCCACCCCAGTGAGAAGCCCAGGCACTGCAACTCACAAAAGCCTATATGCACAGCAGCGAAGACCCAGTGCAGCCAAAAATAAATAAAAATTATTTTTTAAAATAGTATTAAGAAGAAAACAAATGCAAACAAAAATAGAACATAGCCATTCCTCTTTTGAGAGAACTTTCAGTCTGATCTAGAGAAATAGACATATGAGTAAGTAAATGCAATAAAGTGTTATAGGTGCTTTGATAAAATCACAAAATAGAGAGGGAAGCAAAAAGAGTGGTTATTTTTATTTTAGAAGGGCCAGCAAAGGTTTTATAGAGAAAGTAACCCCCAGTCTTAGTTTTCAGTAATAGTTGTTTTTCTGGGTGCCAGTATGAATGGTAATTACCAGAAGTTGCTGTCAGAGCATTGAGGATGATCACTCTATGGGCTGATGCAGGAGCTTGAACATTAAGGTAAGAGAGAGAATCGGGTTATAGACCCCGCAAGGCCATTATGCCGTACTAAGGCTTTATCTTGTAGAGCAGAGGTTCTCATAGTAGGAGGCAAGTGGTGGCCTCTTGACCAACAGCATCAGCATTCACTTAGGAGCTTTTTAGAAATTCATAACTTTGGACCTACCCAAACCCACTGAATCAAACTCTTGGGAGTGGGGAAAGGTCAGGCCCAGCCATCTTGTGTTTTATGAAGTTCTCCTGGTGATTCTGAATGAGAATAAAGTGTTGATTTTTTTCTTTTTAAACAATGTGGTAAAATGCATATAAAAATTGCCATTTTAACCTTCTAAAGTTAATTTTTAATGGAGTATAGTTTTACAATGTTGTGTTTGTTTCTGCTGTACAGTTCACCATTTTAAAACAGTTAAATAGTGAAAATTTTTAATGATTACTGATACAGGTATGACAGGCTGTTGAAAGAGCCTTTGAATTATTCTGTTGACAATCTGAAAGCAGAAAAGAGCACTGAGTGGTAAGAGAACAGGATTTTGCAGTAACAGCTGTTGAGGCTCTGAACTGAGGGTGGCAGTGTGGATAACAGTGCGGTGAAAGTACATCTCAGGGAAGGAAGAGGATGTTTACATAGGTGAGGAAGGAAGACCCTTCTGTGTGGGGTATGAGGTGCCTCTGGGACACCAAGTGGAAACGTGACCTAGAAATGTATTTTGGAAGGCATTATGATACGATGGAAATTTTAGTCAAAGGATTGAACTTTTCCCATTGTGAGTATGAAATATGTGAGAAGCAGGCTGAGAATGAAGCATAGAAAACATAGGAAAGAGAAATGATTGGAGACAAAAGGAGACTTTTTGACATTACAGAAATCAAGAGAGTTGAGTTTCCAAAAAAACAGGGTGATCAGTATATCAAATGTTGTATTCAGTCAAAAATTATGAGCTTGTTGAATTTTGTCATGACTTTATTAACAAGAGCAGTTTTTCAGGGTGTGTGAGGATCTCAGCCATATTGTAGAGGGGCGTTAGCAAGCAGAGAAAACTGATATTAATCCTTTTGTTGTTCAGTCATTCAGTCATGTTTGACTCTGTGACCCCATGGACTGCAGCACACCAGGCTTCCCTGACCTTCACTATCTCCCAGAGTTTGCTCAAACTCATGTCCATTGAGTCAGTGATCCTGTTCTTTGAGAAGTTCAAATCAGGGGAAAAATTAAAATTAGATTTTTAGTAGTATAGTGATATTAAATGCTACCCAAGTAACTTTTTTTTTTCCTGTTAATCAAAATTTTGACTTCCTAAGTTTCTTTCTACACCTTAAAATATTTTTTTTTAAATTAGGGGGAATTCCCTGGTGATCCAGGGCTGTCACTGCCAAGGGCCTGGGTTCAGTCCCTGGTTGGGGAACTAACATCTCACAAGTTGTGTGGCGAGGTCAAAAATAAAAGATAAAAATAAAATTAACTGTAAGAAAAAAAAATTAGGGAGCTGTGATTTTAACCTATATCTTGTGGTTTTACCTTTAGGTGTGCTGTTTTGTGTAGGTGGTCGAGGTGGATCAGGTGACCCCTTCCGCAGTATTGAATGCTATTCTATCAACAAAAACAGTTGGTTCTTTGGACCAGAAATGAACAGTCGAAGGCGACATGTGGGTGTAATCTCAGTGGAAGGTGGGTCTGCTTTTGGGTGAAATCCCATCGCGTCATCACAGTGCTCCTGTTAAATATTTGAACTTTGGGAATTTCTTTCTGAAGAAAATTCCTACATTGTAAAATATGTTTCAGTATATCAATAAATTATTTGGGTGGTGAATATTTACTTTTTGCCCAAAGATGCTCTGTGTACAGTCTCTTGCATATAGATGCTTAATAGGAGATGAGTATTAAGGAAAAGGGAGTTAAATTTTTCTGAGTTTTCACAAAATAACCAAACTAAACAAAAATATTTATTGAACCCAAATAGTAAGTATATATCAGCTTTTTTTCTGTACCCATGTATGCCCACCCTATTATTTTTGAAATAAGGTTTTTTTAAATTAATAAAAGTGGATTAATTGCAGAGTCATAGATAAATTATTTGGAGACTTTAAAAAATCACTTATGATTATAAAAGTTATAAATGCTTTGGGGAAAATATAAAAACATTGTAATAAAAAATAAAAATCATCTGTAATACCTAGTTATGGCTAACATTTTAGTATGTAGTAGTTCCAATTTTTGTTTCATTTAGAACAGGTTCGATGTATTAAGGGTTTTATATTTTATTTATATAAAAATATTTCATTTTATTAAATGTTCTTTGTAAGCATGACTAGTGATTTTGTCTAATAAATAATAAAAAGTGGAGAAACCTAGGGGTGCGATACTGTATAAGCATTTAAATAACTTCTTGTAAAATAGAATTTTTCAGATGTTTTATTAGTAGAATCTTACATTTACTTTCATTTGACTACTGAAGTGACATCATAATGTTGAATAGAAGAATATTTGTTAAAAGTTAATTTATCATGCTATTTTAATTATATATTCAATATATAAATTTATTTGGAATCACATGAAAATACTTCTCTACTTGACAGGTAAAGTGTATGCAGTGGGTGGACATGATGGCAATGAACATTTAGGTAGCATGGAGATGTTTGATCCTCTCACTAATAAATGGATGATGAAGGCATCAATGAACACAAAGAGGTAGGTCAGTGTGGACATTTATTGTTATTTGTTGGTGGAAAATAAAACTTCCTGTAACTGAAAGAGCTAATTTTTCACTCTTTACATTTTTAGAAACTTTAAATAACTTCTTAAACACATTTTGTTAAAGCATCCAATATGACTCTAATTTTAGAAATTTTCCTGAGAATCAAGAATAGAATCATGTCTTTGAGTGTGATAATGGTTGTCATCATTTTGACTTACACCTGAGCATTTGTTGTTTTAAGTTTTTATTTTGAAATAATTTTAGATTTTCAGAAAAGATTAAAAAATAGTTGAGTTCCTATGTAGTAGAGGTTCTCAACTGAAATAATTTTGTACATGGGGATCCACTGCCATTTAATTTTCTCTTCTTGATTAATTTAACAGTGTTCTTAACTGAGTTTTCTTATGTGGTAAAAATATGAAAAATTAGTGGACAAATAGAGTAACAATGAAACATAGACATTATTGTACGTAAAATAGATAGCCAGTAGGAATTTGCTATATGATGCAAGGAGCTCAAAACTCGTCCTCTGTGATGACCTAGAGGGGTGGGAGGGAGGCTCAAGAGGGATCCGGACACATGTACACCTGTGACTGATTCATGTCGATGTGTGGCAGAAGCCAACACAATATTATAAGGCAAGTATCCTCCAATTAAAAATAAATTTTAAAAATATGAAAAATTAGATGGAAACGTGAAAAGATTTTGGCCATCTTTTCCCACTTATGAAGAGAAGGAATCTTACTAGGAAAATCCCTATTCTTAACATATGCTGCTATGCTACTTATCTATAAATGACCTTTTAATACTTTAGTAGGGCTTGATTTATGCTACATGGCAACTACAAATCAATGGTTTAAATTCCAACAAGTGAATTAAAAAAGGGGAGAAAATCCTAAAGTACATTTTTAATTTTTATATCCTTGCCTGTTTATCTGCTAAGCTGATTTTTTAGCTGAGAATTGAGTGAAACTTGTCTAACAAAATAGCAGTTGAATTTCTTTAGTCTTATAAAATATGCCCTGAATGCTGCCATACCTTTCCAACTGTATACAGAATAATATAACTGCAATTATTTCCTCACATTATTTGCTTCTATAATTTGTATCCCCCAAATGATTGTTTCAGTGTGCGCTCCAAGATCATACTCAGGTGTTAAATGGTTTTCTTTATTGTCCTCCCCTTTCTTTTTTATCTTTTCAGTAGAATGGATACTGGTGTTTGTTCAAGTTATAGTTTTATTGAAACCCATCATCCTAACAGAGCATCTCTAGGGGTTAATTTACTTTTCAGTAAATACTTAAGTGCCCTTTGCAAGATATATCAAGTGCTGAAGATACAGCAGTAAATAAGATAGCCAAGGTCTCTCTACCTCCATGGAGCTTACACTCTAAAAGGCGAGATAGAAATAGACGTAATTACATGGGTAATAATGTTAGCACCACATAAGTAAAAGATGCTTGAGAATGGATATCGTAATGTCAGTTTCATAGGTGAGAAGTCCAGCAATTTTAACCAACTTTTCCACCTACAGTCTCAGAAGTCAAGATCAAGGTGTAGGCTGTAGACTCTAATGGAGGTTCTGGGGAAGAAACTGCTTCCAGGTCATTTAGGTTATGGATAAAATTCAGCTCTTTGCTATTGAAGGACGGAGTTTGTTTTTACTGGCTGAAGGCCAGGGGTCACTCAGCTCCTAGAAGCCACTCTTACTTAGGCCTTTCCAGGTGTTCCCCTCCATCTTCAAACAAGCAAACAGCTTGCAGAATCCACCCCGTTCTTTGAGTTTCTGACCTGTCTTCTGCTACCAGATGAAGAAACATCTCTGCTTTTATAGGGCTTATGTGTTTAAATCAGGCCGGTTCACATCATCTCTATCTTGCCACATAATGTAGCATAATCAGGAGTAAAACTAGAGAGTGAATATTGTGGAGAGAGGCATCTTATAATCTGCCTAGCACAGGGAGGTGGACAGTAAGCTTCACTTTAGATTAAAGTTAAGGTTGAAAATCCAGACAGATTTGAAGTAGAAGTTGGATGTATGTCTGGAAATATATATTAGTATTGTCATAAATCCATGGAAAGAATCAGATTGTCTATAGAGAGAGTGTAGCGTGATAAGAGGCCTTAGAGAACTTCACAATTCAGTGATGGAATAGAGAAGAATGCACTCATGAAGGAAGCTGTAGGAAGCAATCAGAAATGTTTTATGCCTTTGTAGTTTAAGGGGTGAAGGGTCAGGGGAATTACACTCACTTATGTCATGACATAACGCCTGTATGTTCTAGAGTGCACATATGTGTTCACCCACACCTGGAAGTTTTTATAACAGTATTTTATAAGTCACTGCTTTATACTCAATGGAAAAGAGGTTAAGGAAATGAAATGAAGGATAATGTTATGTTTAAGAATTCTTTCCAGAGTACTATCTTGATAAACTGAGAGTTAGACTGTCAGTAGAGCAGCAGCTCTCTCCAGTGATGACGACAGCTAATACAGAGCGCTGACTGTGGGTCAGTCACTGTTCTCAGTGCATTACGGTATTGACTCCTTTTATCAGCTGTGTCTGCTCCTTCTCAAATGGACAGATGAAGAAACAAGGTAGTTATAGGTTTAAACAATATACCTTATGCAGAGTACACACCAAGTCAGTGACAGATAGGTTTTAGAAAAGTTCAACTTTTGATGTCATTTTAAAAAAAAAATGATGTAATTTTTTTGATACAATTTTTTTTTTCCAGTCACCATTCTGATGAATTAGCTTTTCACTTAGGCTAAGTCTCTTCTGTTCCAAGATAAATAGATGCCCTTCAGAAGTAAAGCAATGTGATATAAAGCTTGTAGTATAAAATTGATAATGCAGGAGACCCCAGTTCAATTCCTGGGTTGGGAAGATCCCCTGGAGAAGGGATAGGCTACTCACTCCAGTGTTCTGGCCTGGAGAATTCCATGGACTGAAAGTCCACGGGGTTGCAAAGAGTTGGACACGACTGAGCGACTGTCACTCACTCACTCTATGTGATGTGATGAAATACTGGAACAAAATGTGCTCTGCAGTTACATGAATTTAGTAATGAGATTAACTTTGACCTCTCTAGCAAACCATTTTTGTCAGTTCATCAGCCTCTCACTTCTGCAGCTGACTGTTGTACTAATTGAATCTTTCAGACTCCATTTATAGTGTTTTGTTGGATTTTCCTTTATTCTTTCATTTAAGTTTAACCTGTATTTGTTGTTTAGTCACTAAGTTGTGTCCAACTCTTTTTGCAAACCTATAGACTGTAGCCCACCAGGCTTCTCTATCCATGGGATTTTCCAGGCAAGAATGCTGGAGTGGGTTGCTATTTCCTTTTCCAGGGGATCTTCCTGACCCACAGATCAAACCTGTGTCTCCTGCACTGCGTGGTTCTTTTACCACTGAGCCACCAGGGAAGCCCTTAATCTGTGTAGGCTATGCAGTATAAAACTCCAGAGGGCACTGTTCACATAGAATCGCACAATTTGACAACTCTGTAGCCATCTACTCAGAAGCTTTGATAAATCGAAAAATAATGTGAGAAAAAGCCACATTGACATTTAAGGTGATAAATGAATGCATTAGCACACTTTTTTTGCTGCCTTTTTTCTGGAAACAAGTCAGAATGCAAAAGCGTGTTCTGTTTTTTTGCAGGCGAGGAATTGCCTTGGCTTCCTTGGGAGGCCCAATTTATGCCATTGGAGGGTTAGATGACAACACTTGCTTCAATGATGTGGAGAGATATGACATAGAATCTGACCAGTGGAGTACAGTGGCACCCATGAATACCCCCCGTGGAGGCGTTGGCTCCGTGGCTCTCGTGGTGGGTTACATCCCAGCTTGGTCACTGGATTGCATTGTATTCCATCCCTGACTTAGTAAGAAAGGGTCTGGTACATTCATATCTCCAGTATGCAGATTACACACCAGATTATTTCACGAAATACTGCTCTCTTGCACATTTTGGTCTACCTTTAGGACAGCATATAAATCATTTCAAAATCTAATGTTTTTATATTTTTTGTCTTTGTTTAGAACCATGTTTATGCAGTAGGTGGCAATGATGGAGTAGCTTCTCTGTCTAGTGTGGAGAGGTATGATCCACATCTCGATAAGTGGATAGAAGTTAAAGAGATGGGTCAGCGAAGAGCAGGCAATGGAGTTAGTGAGCTCCATGGTTGCTTATACGTTGTTGGTGAGTGAATGGTTTTCTCTAGTTTAATTTTTTATAGGACATACAATGATAGTGTCACAAAACAACACAGTAACATAACTTACTTTCCATTTAGGCTCAAGTGGAATCAGTCCTAAGATCTGCTCTTGCGTTCTTCAGGTTCATGGGCTTGCTTCTCTGTTTACATCTTCATCTTTCATGTTTAAAACTCTGCCTCATTGTTTTTACTTAGGAGTGGCAAGTATGTCTAAAGTGGGAGATTACATTGAAATATGAATATTTTTTTAAATGTAAGGACACAGGTTGAATGTGCTTTGCTGCAGTAAATCTAAGACATGTTTTTCTCATCTTCAAGGGAATTGTGTTGACTGCTTTAAGCAAATCAGTAGGTATTTCGTATTCATGATGGCGGTTAGCATCTCTGTATTGCTTTTTGACTTTTTACTATATAGTAGAGTTGGAGGGAACCATAGGGCAGGTAGTACTTGTTAGGACTTTAACATGCATATGAATAATAATAAGATATTGTTAAATTGCAAGGGAAGGGTCCCAGATTCTGTAACAGCTCATAAGTGATAGTATTATTTCTGGTCCACTCAACACATTTCCAGTGGCAGGGCTTTTAAAGGACTATGAGATGGAAATAATAATGTCTATTTTTAAGAATTAAGAATCTGAGATTATGTTAAACATCTCAGCTGTGTCTACTACCTTACCAGTAAATGGGTAGCTATATTGTGATTAGTAATCCCTTCCTTTATAGGAGGAGATGTGTTTGGAGAGATGGTCACTAGCGTCATACTCTCTCATGTTAATATGAACTGGTGTTACAAAATTCAGAGTGCTTGATAAGAGAGTAGGATATTGTTAGCACTTAAAACATCTGCAAGTAATACAAGTCATACTGGATATCTCAGTGCTTACATGTATTAAAGAGGGAAAATAACATAATTTACCCTTTTAGTCTTGTCTGATCATCACAGCACCTCTTTGAGGTGGTCAGAAACTGAGAGAGTGAATATTTACTCATAGTCACATGCCTAAGTAAGCTGACAAAGCTGGAATTTGAAGAAGGGTCTGTGAGAACCCAGAGCTGTTTACAGTACACCAATGCTCCTCTCACAGCTCCCTACCATCATTGTTTCTGTTACTTGTTAAATTTTCTGAGCCCTTGTAGGTAAAACAGACATGATAAAAATAAGACTGACTCAGGTTGAACCTTTAAAAAAAAAAAACCCCTCTTGTTCATCCAAGTCCTACTTAAAACATGTACAACTGATTTGAATAAGAAAACTTTGAAGGTAAACTGTATGTCCAGTAAGCTAATTGCATCCTGACTTTTCTGTTCCTTTGCTCTGAGCTTTTTTTTTTTTTAGCTTTGAGCTTTTTGTTCAAGATTTATATGCCTTACCTAGGAAGAGTATAGGGAGCCAAAGAAAAAGAGTGCCATCAAAAAATAGAACTACCTTGTATTATAAACTTAATCTCCTCCATTAACATCAGCAATAATTAAAGCTAAAGCCTTTTTTGTAGTGGAAAAATGTTTTATATCATAGTTGTGGTGGGGAGGGCATGACTACATTTGTTCAGTGAGTTTTATCTGTTGATTTAATGAAATTAAACCCATTACAGAAGCTGACTTTGTTGATTTATTTTTTAACCTGACCTTGTTTCTAAAAGGACTGATCATAATATCAACACTTCCTGTCCCAGGAAAATAGGCTTAGTCACCCAGACCTGTTACTCACATAGACGGAGATGGAGCCTAAAAAGAGACACGTTTATTTTTCAAAGGAAAGAGCATTGTTAAAATAGTAGTCTCTATGTTTAACACTCAGGAACATGATAAGTAACATTGTTAAGATAATCTATAGAGAGGACTGTCAGCATTGAGAAATGTAGCATGAATATACAGTTAAGGCAAAAATTGGTAAGAATTCAATCATAGTCCACCATCTCTGCAGTTATGATTGCAATTATAGTACTAAGGGAAACAGTTGGAAAATTTTGACTTATCTAAACAAGTCAAGTAATTTAGTATGATTTATTCTCATCTCAAGCCTTACTGTTTAAAAATCTAATATATACACAGAAGTAATATATGCACAGAAGGAATCTCAGTATTTTTTGCTTGCCTCTAGGATGCTAAGGAAAAATGATATTAAATGTCTGTGGGTCTTTTTCTTCCTAAATCATCTGCTTAAATATAGGGACTCCAGTTTTTCTCACTTTAAGATTTTTAATCCTAACACTGAGGAAAGTAATACTTAAATTATCTTGAATTGTAGAAAATGTGTAATAGGAGTTGGTAGTAGTGATAGATGTTTGGGTTTTCTAAAATGTTTTGAAAAGATTGGCTTTCAAAAGCTTTTGAATTGAGATTTAATGGTTAATTTCTATGAAGCATAATACTGTTTTAAAATTTTTCCTTTACATAGGTGGTTTTGATGATAATTCTCCTCTGAGTTCTGTTGAACGGTATGACCCTCGAAGCAACAAATGGGATTACGTAGCAGCCCTTACCACTCCCAGGGGTGGAGTAGGGATTGCAACAGTGATGGGCAAAATCTTTGCAGTTGGTGGCCATAATGGAAATGCATATCTAAATACAGTGGAAGCATTTGATCCAGTGCTGAATAGGTAAATTTTATGTTTGCTTTATGCTTTAATGGGATCTTCCAGTAACAGATTATTTCAGAACGCTAAAGTGTTGCTTTTTGTTTGTTGAGTTGCTGAGTTATGTCCGACCCTATGACGCCATGAACTACAGCATACCAGTCTCCCCTGTCCTTCACTATCTCCCAGAGTTTGCTCAGACTCATGTCCATTGAGTTTGTGATGCTATCTAATCATCTCATCCTCTGCCGCCCCCTTCTCCTCTTGCCTTCAGTCTTTCCCAGCATCAGGGTCTTTTCCAGTGAGTCAGCTCTTTGCATCAAGTGGCCAAAGTATTGAAGCTTCAACATCAGTCCTTCCATTGAATACTCAGGACTGATTTCATTTAGGATGGACTGGTTAGATCTCCTTGCAGTCCAAGGGACTCTCAAGAGTCTTCTCCAACACCACAGTTCAAAAGCATCAATTCTTCAGTGCTCAGCCTTTTTATGGCCCGACTCTTAGATCCATACGTGACTACTGGAAAAACCATAGCTTTGGCTAGACAGACCTTTGTTGACAAAGTGATGTCTCTTTTTAATATGCTCCCCAGGTTTGTCATAGTTTTCCTTCCAAGGAGCAAGTGTCTTTTAATTTCATGGCTGCAGTCACTGTCTGCAGTGATTTTGGAGCCCGAGAAAATCTGTCACCACTTCTACTTTTTCCTCTTTTGTTTGCCATGAAGTAATGACATGATTTTAGTTTTTGAATGTTGAGTTTCAAGCCAGCTTTTTCACTGTGAGCTTTCATAAAACCTCATCAAGAGGCTCTTTAGTTCCTCTTCACTTTCTGCCATTATAGTGGTATCATCTGCATATCTGAGGCTGTTGATATGTCTCCCCGAAATCTTGGCTCCAGCTTGTGCTTCATCCAGCCGAGCATTTCGCACGAGGTACTCTGCATAGAGGTTGAATAAGCAGGGTCAGTATACAGCCTTGTCGTACTCCTTTCCCAATTTTGAACCAGTCAGTTGTTTCATGTCCGTTTCTAATTGTTGCTTCTTGACCTGCATACAGCTTTCTCAGGAGACAGGTAAGGAGGTCTGGTATTCCCATCTTTTTGAGAATTTTCCAGTTTGTTGTGATCCACACAGTCAAAAACTTTAAGTCAATGAAGCATAAGTAGATGTTTTTCTGGAATTCCCCTGCTTTCTCCATGATCCAGCAAATGTTGACAATTTGATTTCTGGTTCCTCTGCCTTTTCTAAACCCATCTTGTACATCTGGAAGTTCTCAGTTTACATACTGCTGAAGCCTAGCTTGAAGGATTTTGAGCATTACTTTCTAGCATGTGAAATGAGCACAATTGTGCAGTAGTTTGAAAATTTTTGGCATTGCCCTTCTTTAGGATTGGAATGAAAATTGACCTTTTCCAGTCCTGTGGCCACTGCTGAGTTTTCCAAATTTGCTGGCATATTGAGTGCAGCACTTCCACAGCATCATCTTTTAGGATTTGAAGTAGCTCAACTGGAATTCCATCTCCTTCACTAGCTTTGTTCATAGTAATGTTTCCGAAGGCCCACTTGACTTCACACTCCAGGACATCTGACTCTAGCTGAGTGATCACAGCATCATGGTTACCTGAGTCATTAAGACCTTTGTTGTACAGTTTTTCTGTGCAGTTTCTTTTTTGTACAGTTTCTCTTCTGCTTCTGTTAGGTCCATACCGCTTCTGTCCTTTGTTGTCCCCATCTTTGCATGAAATGTTCCTTTGGAATCTCTAATTTTCTTGAAGAGATCTCTAGTCTTTCTCATTCTGTTGTTTTCCTCTATTTCTTGGCATTGTTCATGAAGGAAAGTTTTCTTATCTCTCCTTGCTATTCTTTGGAACTCTTCATTCAGATGGGTATATCTTTCCTTTTCTCCTTTGCCTTTTGCTTCTCTTTCCTCAGCTATTTGTAAGGCCTCCTCAGACAACCATTTTGCCTTTTTGCATTTCTTTTTCTTGGGAATGGTTTTGGTCACTGCCTCCTATACAGTGTTACAAACCTCTGTCCATAGTTCTTCAGGCACTGTCTAATTAGGTCTAGTCCCTTGAATCACTTCCACTGTGTAATCATAAGGGATTTGAATTAGGTCATACCTGAATGGCCTAGTGATTTTCCCTACTTTCTTCAGTTTAAGTCTGATTTTTGCGATAAGGAGTTCATGATCTGAGCCACAGTCAGCCTCTGGTCTTGTTTTTGCTGACTGTATAGTTTCTCCATCTTTGGCTGCAAAGAATATAATCAATCTAATTTTGGTATTGACCATCATTGGTAATGTCCATGTGTAGAGTCGTCTCTTGTGTTGTTGGAAGAGGGTGTTTGCCATGACCAGTGTGTTCTCTTGGCAAAGCTGTTAGCCTTTGCTCTGCTTCATTTTGTACTCAAGGCCAAACTTGCCTATTACTCCAGATATCTCTTGATTTCCTACTTTTGCACGTCAGTACCATATAATGAAAAGAACATCTTTTTTGGGTGTTCTAGAAGATCTTTAGGTCTTCATAGAACTGTTCAACTTCATCTTCTTTGGCATTAGTGGTTGAGGCATAGACTTGGATTCCTGTGATATTGAATGTTTTGCCTTCTAAACAATCTGAGATCATTCTGTTGTTTTGAGATTGCATCCAAGTACTGCATTTTGGACCGTTTTGTTGACTATGAGGGCTACTTCATTTCTTCTAAGGGATTCTTGCCTACAGTAGTAGATACAATGGTCATTTGAATTAAATTTGCCCATTCCAGCCCAGTTTAGTTCACTGATTCCTAAAATGTCGATATTCACTCTTGCCATCTCCTGTTTCACTACTTCCAATTTGCCTTCATTCATGGACCTAACTTTCCACGTTCCTATGCCGTATTGTTCTTTACAGCATCAGACTTTACTTCCATCACCAGTCACATCCACAGCTGGGCATCATTTCTGCTTTGGCTCAGCCTCTTCATTCCTTCTGGAGCTGTTTCTCGGTTCTTCTCCAGTAGCGTATTGGACACCTACTGACTTGGTGGGTTCATCTTTCAGTGTCATATCTTTCTTCCTTTTCATACTGTTCTGTTGGTCTCAATTGGTTCATTGGTCTCAGTTGGTCATTGTCAAATTCTGATGGCTGGCCACTAGTCTCTTCCTCTTCAAGGCTCTCATCATCTTTGCAAAATTTCTTGAACCACCCTCACTGTATGTTCATTAGCAGTTCCTGGGCCAAATGCATTGTTGAAGTTGTAAGTTGTCTGTGCTGCTTTACAACCCATTTTAAACTCAAATAAAAAAATCACTTGAATTTGTGTTTTGTCTAACATCATTTCTATAATCTAAAATAAATATAAAATAGCAAGTAATAAGTCAACAAAAAACATAAAGCAAGAAATGCACATTAAAATGATGTGTAACATAAAGCATTTATTTAAGAATGTATTCCAATATCAAACCACAGAGTTCCACATGAGAAGCCACAGTTACTTTTGCACCAACCTAATACTTCCCTCCACTCTTCCCCAACAGCATATTGGACACCTCTGACCAGGGGGGCTCAACTTCTGGGTGTCACATCTTCTCGGCTTTTCATCCTTCGTGGGGTCCTTGTAGCAGGAATACTGGAGTGGACTGCCACTCCCTCCTCAGGGGACCATGTTTTGTCAGAACTCTTCACTGTGACCCATCCGTCTTGGGCGCCCTGTGTGGCATGGCTCATCATTTCATTGAATCACATAAGCCCTTTCACCATGACAAGGATGTGATCCATAAAAGGGAAAATGCTGCTGGATGTAGTTAAAAGAAATGTTTGGGGTTAGCTTACTGTCTTTCAAAACCAGTCTCTGAATAGGGAGTTTTTGTTTTGTCTTATGAGTGAAGCGAGTCATGATTTAAGGTAACATCCTTTCTTCTCTGTCTTTTCAGGTGGGAGCTTGTTGGATCTGTGTCTCACTGCAGAGCTGGAGCAGGTGTAGCTGTATGTGCCTGTTTAACTAGCCAAATCCGAGATGTAGGTCACGGATCCAGCAATGTGGTTGACTGTATGTGACTTGAGTTCGAGTCACCAACAGTTTAGTCTTATCTGACTGGCAAGAAAGACAAGGAGGATTTTGTAATGGCCACCTTTGAGCAGTTTTAACTATTACTAGAGTGTCATGTAAATGTAAACTGTTGTATGTGACTGAGTGCAACTTTTGGAATGGTAGCTGAAGAATTACTAGTAATAAAGTTAATATTTCCCACTTTAACAAATAATTAAGTAGGGAAAGAAGACAGTCTAAGCTGAAACCTCCTCCAAAAAAAAAAAAAGAAACGTTTAACAGAGTGGAGTGCCAGAACCTTGAAATTAACTTTTTTTTTTTTAAGTGTGGATGAATGAAAATGCAAAATGAAGTCACTTGCTGAGCTTTACCTTTTGCCTAAAGGCGTTGACCTTAGGCATTGGATTTTCCCTCTGGGGAGGTAAGAACCTGTTCATCAACTCAGAGATACCAGGACTCCTAACAGACCTGCTCCATTTGAAGATCATTTCTCCTTGGTGCTGATGAATTTATGCCTTGCTTTCTTCTAGGTGTTGATTTGTCAATTCCTTGGATATTTACAGAAGTAGGAAAAATATTTCATCTTTCTGAGTGTCCCTGGGCTGTGTTTTCAGAAGCCTATAGGATTATAGGCTTCATTTCAGTTTGAATTGTTAGGACACCAAAAGATCTAAATGAACAGTTCCATCTGAATGAATCTACACTTATTTTTTCATGTGAAAGGGGTTTTGTTTCATAGTAATAAAAATGGAATCACATGAGATTATTAGAGGAGAAAGCTTTAGAGTCAGCATTATTCTAGTGCCCACTTGAGACCTTGATTGAATGGGAGTGGTGTCCATTATGCGACTCCCTAATGATGCAACTCCGAGAATGTGTTTAACACTCTTTGATTTAACTATTTCATTCTGAATCTGAGATTTATTATCCTTCTATTTTGCTATTTGCCACCATCATAGTTTTTCTAACTGTACAGAATCTGGATTTATTTATTATGAGAAATTGAATTCATTTCTACAAAAGCCCTTTACAGACTTTAGTTGAACTGTTGATTAGTTCATATCCATCTTTACCAATAAAAGATAATTGTAAAAGCAAAGGAAGATAAAACTTTTTCTCTTGTTACATTTCTCTCCAGTGTACTTACTGAATTTTAATTGAAAATATTTCTGTACATTGCTTTGAAGGCAGGCTGTTTATACACCTGTTGATCTAACAGCTCTTCATGGTTTTACCAGCATTATAAAGTGACTTACTCATTATATGTATATATTTTTATAAATATTTATGAAGGATATTAAATTATTCTATTTTGTATTTGCAGTGCAGTTTGGTACTTCTCTTCCAGACGTTCTTGAATTCTCCTTTAGTTATGCCTTAGAATTTAGTATAGTTTATTGATGTCAGTCATCTTTTTCATGAAGAAGCTAGGGCAATGCAGAACACTGCTCCATCCACCCAGTCCTGAAGTTAACTGCCTAGTAGCTGTGATGGGCCTTGTTAAATGACAGCCTAGACTTGTCAGTACAGCAAGGCAAAAAGCCACATTACAAAAGCTAGTGCTTTGTGTATATTCAATCAAAAAAATAAGGTAAAGAAAATATAAAAGAGAACTCAGCTAGCAGAAAAAGGTCTTTCATGAAGCCAACCTAAATGTTCCTAAATTATGGCAATTTTTGCTGTCAGCCTGTGGGCAAGTCCATAAGTCATTGCTGAATCTGAACTGATGTTCTCTTGTACAACTGTAACCGTATTTCAGTCAACCCCCAAAGCAGATAACTCTGTAGCACTCACTGGACTGGCTACAACTGGCTGCATGTGGAGAGTAAGGCTCAAAACCTGGCTTCAGCTCTTTCCCAGGTCTAATGGACTTCCTGTATTATAATACTTGTCTAGGGATGGTTGCCTAATGTCATATTTATTTTGGGAGGTGGATCTTTTATTCTTTCTAAGGTTATTTAAAAAATGTTTTTTCTTTTATTTCTGCCTTTGTCATGAGTATAGCATTTGAGAGCATGAAGGTGTTATATTTCCATTACTAGTTTTATAAGTATTGGAGTCATCTAACATTACTAAGTTGGTACTCTAGCTACCCATAAAATATGAACTACTCCTAAGGGAAGTAATGTGAAGTAAACCACACATGGCTAACTGTTACATTATGTACAGGCCATCAGAAGTACAGCCCTGAAGGACCTGACAATAGTATGAAAAGATTAAAGTGGATTCAGTATGCAGTCTCTTTATTAAAAACATTTTTTGAGATATGAAGTGTGAATCATGTTGAAGGAATTCTGTGTTTGAAAGGTGATTATACTGATGGGAATAGAAGGATGAAATACTCAAAGATGGCTACTAAGTTGTGAGGCCTGTCACTTTAACTTCGGATGTTAATACCATCTACCAAAAAGACGTAAAAGAGAGCTAAAATTCTAAATTATAAATGGAAAACAAGAAAAAGTAAAAATTGGCACATTTAAGAAATATTTCTAGGTGCTTTTGAGTGATTCTCCCATACTGTCATTAAAGCTGCTGCATTTACCTGTGTTGTACTGCCACTTTAAAAATAAATTACTTGGTAATGTTTTTGCTTAATTTCACTATATTCTGTGTAACTATCTTTTAAACATTTGAATGACCTTTGTACTCTAAAAAGTATTATTCTGTTAACTCCTAAATGCATTTTAAACTCTACAATGCTGTTAAATGCCTAGATAAGACATAAAATTGCATAAACTACTCTTGAAGATGGTAAACTTAAAAGAGTTTTGTTCCTTTTTTCCTCCATGTCTTATAGAAAATACATTTAGAATCTAATTCATGTCTTACCAGTTAAGAATGTTTTCTGTGGTTTCTTATATCAGACTCCTAAAGAAATTATATTGGGATGTCACTGTCTCTTTTTCTGCTTTATGTAGAGTGACAAGTAGCAAAAGAACTTCTCTATACTATTTTCTTAAAACCATATGTAAATTTGTGTAGTGATATTCCAGCAAATCAAAATAGTAAAACTCTCATATATACTACCAAGTCCAGAGATCAGAAAGTTGGATTCACATCAGTGCTATTTATTGATTCAAAATATATTGTGTGTATCTATTATGAATAGAAATATGAGTATTATGTGTCTGTTATCCTTTCTGTATAGTGTATGTAACTTTGCTTTTGTTTTTGCTTTGATAGAATCTTTTCAAAAGGATGTAATTGTTTATTCTCCATCCTTCAAATACAAAATTGATTTAGTAGGTTGGCTGAAATATTTTTTTCTCCAAAGAAAGGATCTTTATGTTTAATATGAAGATTTTTGTTAACCCTTAAGGAGCTTAAAGGCAACAGACTGAGCAATTGTCTCTTCAGCAGTTGTAGACTTAGACTATTTAGAAATAAGATTCTTTATGCATTAAGATGTTGTCCTTCCAATTAGTAACCTCGTGAATCTTTAATTTTGTTTTCTGCCTGTCTTGCCATTGCTAAAAACTTTTCTGAAACTCTTCTTGGAAACAACCTGAAGATCCATTTGTAAGTCATCCAAGAGAATTAGTCTCATCATAGTCATACAAGAACAAACATGTGGTTGCCAGAGGAGGTGGATGGGGAATGGAGAAATAGGTGCGGGAGATGAAGAAGTACAAGATAACTTGGTTGCAAAATAAATGTGTCATGGGTAAGAAAACAGTATGATAGTTTCTTTGAAGGGAACTCTGGGAATTCCATTGTAGTGCAAAAATTCTGGTGGTTTTTGTTGTTTTAACAAGTCATTTTTCCATTATTTTATTGGTTGAGGCTAAATTCAGCCTACTTGAACTATAAGGGGTTTCTTAAATTTGGGTAGTAATCATGGGGTGTACTGATAACTTCAATTTGTTTATTAATAACTACAGTTTAATGTAATGCCTGCATCACTCACTTTATAATGACATTTTAATCTTTACAGTAGTTCTGCAATGGAGAGCTACTAGATACAGGAAGTAGCTTGTCCAAAATTTACAGATAGTCACTGGTTAACCAATATTCCTCTGACTGAAAAATTCTACTGTTCTACCTAACTAGCTGTGTCTCTGCTTTCTCAAAAAGTATGCATATTTAAGGAAGGATTTTGTTTTTCATAGCTGCTGGTTGGCAGTATAAAAGTGTTTCTGGTCACTACTTGATGTAATTGTTTATTCTCCATCCTTCAAATACAAAATTGATTTAGTAGGTTGGCTGAAATATTTTTTTCTCCAAAGAAAGGATCTTTATGTTTAATATGAAGATTTTTGTTAACCCTTAAGGAGCTTAAAGGCAACAGACTGAGCAGTTGTCTCTTCAGCAGTTGTAGACTTAGACTATTTAGAAATAAGATTCTTTATGCATTAAGATGTTGTCCTTCCAATTAGTAACCTCGTGAATCTTTAATTTTGTTTTCTGCCTGTCTTGCCATTGCTAAAAACTTTTCTGAAACTCTTCTTGGAAACAACCTGAAGATCCATTTGTAAGTCATCCAAGAGAATTAGTCTCATCATAGTCATACAAGAACAAACATGTGGTTGCCAGAGGAGGTGGATGGGGAATGGAGAAATAGGTGCGGGAGATGAAGAAGTACAAGATAACTTGGTTGCAAAATAAATGTGTCATGGGTAAGAAAACAGTATGATAGTTTCTTTGAAGGGAACTCTGGGAATTCCATTGTAGTGCAAAAATTCTGGTGGTTTTTGTTGTTTTAACAAGTCATTTTTCCATTATTTTATTGGTTGAGGCTAAATTCAGCCTACTTGAACTATAAGGGGTTTCTTAAATTTGGGTAGTAATCATGGGGTGTACTGATAACTTCAATTTGTTTATTAATAACTACAGTTTAATGTAATGCCTGCATCACTCACTTTATAATGACATTTTAATCTTTACAGTAGTTCTGCAATTGAGAGCTACTAGATACAGGAAGTAGCTTGTCCAAAATTTACAGATAGTCACTGGTTAACCAATATTCCTCTGACTGAAAAATTCTACTGTTCTACCTAACTAGCTGTGTCTCTGCTTTCTCAAAAAGTATGCATATTTAAGGAAGGATTTTGTTTTTCATAGCTGCTGGTTGGCAGTATAAAAGTGTTTCTGGTCACTACTACTCATTTTTTGGACACTTATTTCCATTTATTATATTGAGATATTGTTATAAGTTTTATGTGTACAACATAATGATTCAGTATACATATACATTGTGAAATGGTCACCACAAGAATTCCATCATCATAGTTTTTTCCCTTGAAATGAGAAGTTTTAAGATCTATTCTCTCAGCTCCTTTCAGATATGCCATACAACACTATTAACTATAGTCACAATGCCATACGTTACATGCCCAGGACTTATTTTTTTATATTTGGAAATTTGTATTAATACCTTTTGACCCCCTTTACCTATTTCTCCCATCCCCTACACTGTCTCTGGTAACCACTGATGACTGTACTTCTTTATTTAATATTTGATAACGTAAGTGGAAATATTTGTGTGACATGGAAGTTTTTAAGCATAGTAATGAAACACCTGTGCATTCAGTCCCTAATTATTAACATTCCTGGTAGTCCTGACTGTGCCTTTTGTTCCTTCTCAATTCCAATCCCCAGCCAGCCGTTCTCGCTAGAGGTAAGTACTGTCCTGAGTCATTCGTCTCTTTGCGCTTTCTTGTTTTCATACAAATATGAAAGCTACATTATGTACTTTGTAATTGAAGAGTTGACGAGGCCCAGAAAACTCCAGCCCTTTCAGACCCGCCTCAGATCCTTTGTCCTGTTGCTATCGGAGAAGGCGAAGCACCTTCCACCTCCCAGTGCTGCTCTGGGGCTGGACCTCCGGATCTCTCGGTGAGTGCCTTTGGCTCTCTCGTGGTTCACGTACTGGCTGCTCATACACATGCATACCCTCTCAGTTGTTATTAACACTGCAGAGGTCTTATACCTGCTTAAATTGTGGGGTTCCTGAGAAACCTATTTTGATTAGGATATTATGCACAGGTTAAAAAAATTTTTTTTATCCTACTTGCCCTGGCTAGTTTATGCTTTGGAAGGATGAGGATTAAGTGGTGAGAAATTTTAGCAGTGATGGTGGTTTACTTGCTAAGTTGTGTCCGACTCTTGGAACCCCCATGGACAGTAGCCCACCGGGCTCCTCTGTCCATGGGATTTCCCAGGCAGGAATACTGCAGTGGGTTGCCATTCCCTTCTCCAGAGGATCTTGCTGACCTAGGGATTGAACCGAGAGCTTGAACTCGAGTCCCCTGCATTGCAGGTGGATTCTTTTACTCCTGAGCCACCAGGGAAGCCCATATACTACTAGATCCCTCTGTGAAACTTACCTGTTGAGTATCTTAGTAGACCTTAAGCTTTTTGGTCCCATGTATTTATCATGTCTAAAGTGTTTTCTCAAATTTAAATGGAGAGTTTTTAATTCATAAACTGTTTCCTTGGTATAGCTGTGTCTATTACTTTGTGCTTCTCTGCCTTGAGTGTCTCAAGTATGTGGTTTTATTATATACACCAGTACCTTTTAACAGCAGTGTGCTAAATCCCTTCAAAATATTGATGTAGATTCAGAAAATATTTGTGTTCTGCCTGAGACTTTGCAACTTCCCTTTGTTTTAAAAAAAAGTTTCTGCTTTGGCTTTTGGCCAAAAGTAATAAAGTTCCTACCTGACCATAAATTCCCTGATTTCCCCCTATGCGTCTGCAAACAATTATCTTTTTTCCTGTCTGGAGACCAGAGCTCAGGACTGAATGACACAGTGGCTATTTGCCTTACATTCTAACACAGTCCTCTAGGTTCTTCCTCTTCCTCGCTTCATTTCTCAGTACGTATTTTAATGCAGTACTAAATCAGTGTGCTCGCATAGGAGCCAGATTTATTGAATTGTAATTCATATGATAAAAAACTGACCCACTAGATTTACAATCTATGATTTAGTAAATATAGAGTTGTGTCAAATCAGGGCTTCCCAGGTGGCACGAGTGGTAAAGAACCCGCCTGCTAGTGCAGGAGACATGAGATGTGGATTCGATCCCTGGGCCGGGAAGATCCTCTAGAGAAGGGCATGGCAGCTCACTCCAGTATTCTTGCCTGGAGAATCCCATGGACAGAGGAGCCTGGTAGGCTACCGTCCATGGGGGTCACAAGAGTTGGACTAAAGTAAATTGACTAACACACATGTGCCAACATCACCATAACCCAGATTTAGTTCATTTCCATCATGCTCCCCAAATTTTCATGAGCCCCTCTTGGGGTCAGTCTTCACTCCCTCCCTCTTTTCTTCTCTGCTTCTCACTCAAGGCAACCACTAATGTGGTTTCTCTCCATAAACTTGCCTTTTCTGAGTATGTCATGTAAGTGAAATCAAATGCTCTATATAGCATTTTGTACCTGGCTGTTTAACTTAGCATAATGTTTTGAGGTCCATTTCACCTGTACTGTGGTCGTTTTAATACTGAACAGTAGTAGTCTGTCTTACATTCTTCGGCCATTTACCAGTTGATCATTTCAGTTTCCAGTTTGGGGGTATCACGCAAAATGCTGCCACAAATGTTCATAAACATGTCCATGTGAACATGTTTTCATGTATCATGGGTGAATT